CCCCAAAACCCCAAAACCCCAAAACCCCAAAACCCCATAACATCTTAGAGTATTTAAAAGTCGTATTAATAAATCAATTTTGATTAAAATTACTAATGGTTGACAAGTCAGCTGATGCTGACACTTCTGAGGAGCTCAGCTTTGTCTTGCTCAAGACCCAGACTTTGTGAAAGTAATTGCTTGAGATAGAAAAGTCAATGATTTTTTATGCTCTCTTCTAATCGAAGACTTTGCCCAACATTTCGTAAATCTTTAAGACTTGATTGTCTCCTCTGAAGATGCTTCCTTTTGATCTTATTGCAAGTTGGGGAAGTTGATATTTTGGGCATATTTAATCACGAGAGAGACACATCATCCTGAATTACTATAGGAAGAATTGGGACATGGATTTCCTCGAAATGCTCATAATAACTCAGAACATCTCAGTCCAGAATAAGGAATTTATTCCTGATAAACTCTCTATAGGATTCCTCATCCTTGTCTAAACTGTCCATTGTTGGTATGATCTTGTTGAGAGACTTTATTGGTCCAATATTATTCGTAATTGTCTTGCTAAAGGGTTTCCCTCATATCACAAATGCAAAATCAATTCCTTCTTTCAGATTGTGAAAGGTGTTAACTAATATCTCTGTAATATCTTTCTCAAGATGTGTGTAAAGGATAACTTCATGGTTTATACACAAGAATTCCAAAAATTCCAGGCCAAACCTTCTAATATAGATATACAACTTCTTCTTGGTTTTATTTTTATGGCCTTTTGTACCTTTGACTTGGGTGATAACAATCGGATCGGCTCATCCTTCGATAGGCTCATCTGTAACTTTACAGACAGTGTTTTCAATTTCTATGAATACAAACCTTTTACCCTCTTCCATTTCCAGAAGGGCTTCTGCAAAGTCGATATTTATGCGATTGTCTATTTTCTTTTGGACTCTTTGCATAACTTTCTTGTTTTTATGCTTCTCCACCCAGTGTTTGTCTTTCTGCAGCTTAGCCATATACTGAGGGCAATTATTAATGAACCTGAAGTAATTGGAAGAATCCTTGAGATTGTTAACAACTACATTTTTGAACTCTATTTTCTCTTCTTCCATGTCATCTTTACTATTTTCTTTCTGAGGGAAGGTACTTTTACGTGTTAGGTTAGTAGAGATATGCTGGGTTGGTTTGTATAACCCATCAGAGACCTTTACATGGTTGGGTTCAAGGTTTTTGTAAATTTTCATCACTCCAACAACATTCCTTTTCTCAAACTGTGGTGTCATTTTTGCACTGCTTTGGCTATATTTTATTGGACGATTTCTTACCTCTTTTCTCCCTCAGAAATGCTCTGGCGAAAGAAGAAATTCCCAGCCAATTTTTGGGCTGTAGAGGAAATTTTAGAGGGCACTTCTTGTAATTTATTCTCCTCTTTCATGTTAATTCTGGGTGATTTTGAATTTCTCACTTCCGGTGGAAACATTGGAGGAGGGTCTATTACAAGCTTAGATCATTCATATTTCTTAAAAATCACCAAATATGTAAAAGTAAGATAGGATAGCTAAGACTCATTAAAAATGCCTAAGTTACTACTTACGATGATTTTGATGCGTCTCTGACACCTTTTTCTGACCAACCATTTTGAGGTTATTATCATCTATAATACAATTTATTGCTCTGGTGGGTTTCTTAATAAGGTCTTGTATGAGTGCCCAGGCAATTCTCAACAAGGCTCTTCTAATTTCATAGGCTATGAATTCCCGGTGAAATTATGAAGAATTCAGAAAACCATGAAATAAAATTGTGATTGTGAAATGCATTCTATCCTCAAAATGAGTCTTTAGACACCTTAAGGTTGATATAACTTTTAGTTTCCACGGGTAAATTGCGACTTACTGACTCAAAATTTTGGGAGTAATTGCTTAGATTCCTGAGAGAATTTTCTTGCAGAAAGTTCTTGTAGCTTATTTTCATGCATCGCTATTTCAACAATTAAGTTGGATATAGATGTCATCCAAATTGGTTACTATTCAAGTAAAAATACAGCTTAGGATGAAAAAGATGTTTTCAGACTCTTACTTACATATTTCGGTTACTCCCAACTAGAAGAGCTTTTGATTCAAAATTAGTTATGAGATTCAGCTTTAGATAATCCTGACTGGCTCAGAATTCAATCTTCATCTAAACTCTTGGAATAATCTCATTCATTGAAGGAGTATATAGCTTTGCCTGGGTCACTATTTCTAAACTTGCGGTCCATTGGGTCCATATTCAATATATGCAAATGTATTAAATATTATAAGATCCATTATTACTGATTGACCTGGGGTTTTGGGGTTTTGGGGTTTTGGGGTTTTGGGG